TCATCCGGCTCGGCAACGGCAACGGGTTCGGCGGCAAAATACCTTACGACCCGTTCCCGCTGTCGCGGCTCAAGACGCTGACGGCGACGTGGCAGGCCTTCATCGAGGGCACCGACGCCTGGGCGACGGCGTTTTGCGAGAACCACGACAACGGGCGTGCCGTGTCGCGGTTCGGCGACGACGCCACGCCCGCGCTCTGGGCCGCGAGCGCCAGGACCATCGCGCTGTGGCAGGCCACCATGAACGGGCACGCTGTTCCTGTACCAGGGCCAGGAGATCGGCATGACCAACATGCCGGCGGCGTGGGGCGTCGAGGAGTACAAGGACATTGAGAGTTCGAACTTCTACGCCGAGGCGTGCGCATCGGGCGACGAGGACAAGATGGCCAAGACGATGCACGGCCTGCGCATCATGGCGCGGGACCACGCGCGGATCCCCTTCCAGTGGGACGACTCGCCCAACGCCGGGTTCACGTCTGCTGACGCGAAGCCCTGGATGAGGGTGCATGACGAGTACAAGAAGATCAACGCCGCGCAGCAGATGGCCGATCCCAACTCAATTCTCTCGTTCTACCGGCAGATGCTGAGGCTACGAAAGCATTACAAGGACGTGTTTGTGTTTGGGTCGCACAAGCTGCTCGAGCCCGAGGATGAGAAGGTGTGGAAGTACGTCAAGCAGAGCCCGTATACCGAGCAGTGCCGGCGCGTGCTGGTCGTCATGAACTTTTCCAGAGAGGAGAGACCAGTGGGCGATGTGGCTGCTGCTCTCGAGTGCGAGAAGGGAGACGTGCGGCTTCTTGTTGGCACGGCTGGCGTGGAGGAGAGCTCGGTCGACAAGAGCGGCTGGCCAGCACTGGGTGTGTGGGAGTCAAGGATATACACAAACTTTAAGCTGTGAGCGAGACTCGCCTTCAATAAGAGTGAAGCTAGAGCGCTGTCGGCGATCGAGGCGTTAGGATGGCGTGGGTTCGTCTTTTCTGCATGGCAATCTGCCTGGTCCATCAACCAGGCTTGGGGGGCGTTTTCTTTCTTTTTCTTTTCTTTTTCTTCTTTTTTCGAGACTAGACAGTTTATCCAAAGCGGCATGTGAACCGACTTTCTGGGGAAATGCAGGTTCGTCATCTTGACTGTCCCCATGCAATGTCTTACACAGACGGGGCCTCGAAGCCCATACCGTGCTCACCCCCTCTCCAAATCTATCATGAACTATCTGTATCTATTCCTAGGGTCCTAAGCAAGCGGTTGACAAAAGTTTGAGACGCCGTGTGATTCCTCCTCAAACCACATAATTGGCGCATCGATGACATTTCTACGCCTTTACAAATGAGGAAAACTACCTAGTTATCATGCTGTTTCATCCTATGTATAACCGTCTTGCACAGTAAAAGATTCCTGGTTCTATTGTTCTTAAATTGACAACTCTCGTTGACCCTTGGCTACTAGCAAATCTAGTAGGGGACCCTGAGCTGGGAGGTCTCTGAGTGTTTTGAGCATTTTCCAACCGCCTGCTAGCTAAGCTAAGGTGGATAGTCACCAAGTCCCAGCAACCACGCCATCTGGGACCATGAGGCCATGAACCCCGCAAACTAGACCGAAATCATCCGGTTCGGTGGTGTAGTTGGTTATCACGTCAGTCTAACATCCATCCACGCTGATCTAGAGGCTCACGCCTTGATGACGATCAGAGGAGTTCACTGAAGGTCGGGAGTTCGAGCCTCCCCTGAATCATTTTGGCGCTGCCGAGTTTTGGACCAAGACTCGGAGGACTCTGTCCGCCTTGGATTTACTTCAATTCTTTATGTGACCTATTATTTTATTGATAGATGAATATGACAAGCTTCGCGCGCATGATCGAGCGCTGACTCAGCATCATGTGACCCCACGTTACCCCAGATGTCGGCAATGCAACCTGATGCGAACTGAATGGGCAAGGCTCAGTCAAAACACGCGACACTACACACACACACACACACACACATATCTCGAACAAGCCCTGCGGCCATTGCACGATGCTGCTCGCCTCGCCAGCAGGGGACCATGAGTCATATCCGAAGACAGTCCGACACCTCCTTGTCCCCCGCCACATCCTCCTCGTCTCACCTGCGGCCTGAGAAGCGGCCCGGCGAAGACGACCCTCATGCTCACGATGCGACCGCCAAGGTAGCCAAGAGAGCCCAGGTCTCCCGCGCCTGTCAACGCTGTCGGAACCTGCGCCGCGCGTGCAGTGACTACCGCCCGTGCAAGCGCTGCTCCGACCATGGCCTCGCCGACCAATGCCTCGGCATGCCGGGTCCCGTCCAGATCACCTGGGCCCAAGGACACATCGCCGGCGCCGCCGCGGCGACGAGCCCCCAGGCCTACGTCCTGCCGCCGGCGCAGGATTCGGTCCAGCGGCTGGCCCACCTGCTGCCGGTGACCGTCGTCAACTACTGCGCGCGGCGCTTCTTCGCCCGCTTGTACCCCACCATCCCCATCGTGACGGCCGAGTACATTGGTCGCCTCAAGGCCGCCGCCGCCAGCTCGACGCCGTCCGAGGTCGCCATGGAGGCCCAGCTCGTCCTCGCCGCCATGAGCGCGCTGATCCTGCTCCAGGTCGAGGAGCCCGAGAGCCTGTTCAACGAGGGCCTCATCGCGGAGAAGAACTCGGCCTACGGCGAGCGCCTCTTTGACGAGGCCATCCTGGCGCACCGCCACTTCGCCCGCAAGTCGAATCCTTCGCTCGCGCTCTGCCTCCTGACCTTTCTCCTCTACGCCTGCCACGCCGCGCTGCTCCACCACAGCCAAGCCTTCCTCTTCCTGCGCGAGGCCAACACGCTGTGGCTGCTGCTGCGGCCGCGCGACGACGACGCCGAGGTGCGCGCCCTCGCCGACCGCCTCTTCTGGGTGCTCCTCATCTCGGAACGCTCGCACGCCGTGCGCTACCGCCGGCCCGTGACGCTGCAGATCACGCCCGAGACGCCGAGCCCGGGCCCCGACGACGACGACCCGTCCCTTCGTCGGCTTCTGGTGCCTCGCCGCCCTCTTCCGGGCCCCTCGACAACGTCCTTCGTCGCGCTCCTCAACAAGGAGCAGGTGGCGGCGCCGCCGTCGCCCGGCGGCGCTCCAACCACGTCGAAGCTCGCCGTCAACGCCGCCTTCCGGCGACGCTGCGCTTGCAAGAAAACGCAAAAGGCAAACCTCGGCGCCACCCAGCTCTGGTTGGCATCATCCTCTGGCAGTGGCGCCTGCCCTTCGGCTACCTTCTCGAGAAGGCCTCCAGGCGGCCCCAGCTCCACTTTTACTACCGTTCGAAGCCCCAGGAACCTGACCCTTTTGACGCGGGACTGGCGTTCGAAAGTATAAGGTCCCAGGGGGCGGCCCTCACCGAGAAGCTGTTCGACATTACCTCGTCCGTCGTCGACGTCCTCGCCCGCATCCCCCTCACGCCCTCGAGCCCCAACGGCATCGGCATCGGCGCCGAGGACGACCTGAACTACATCCGCCGCCTCATCACCCAGCTGCCGGGCGGGCCCGCCATCTACGACGCCCTGCTCGACAAGCACATCCAGCAGGCCGTGCCCGACATGGAGCTGGGCGAGGTCCAGAACCTGTCGGATTGACCGGAGGCGACGGGCGGCCACGTCCTGTTCGCCCGTCCGGTACGACGTGCGGATGGTGTTTCTGCAGTGACTGAATGGGCGGGGTCCTTGGTCATGGCAAATCATGGTCCAAGGAAGGCCATAAGCATGTCCCATCTCACATGCATGGCATCCTGACGACCTCGGGGTGCGGCGCACCACTTTGAACATTTCGGAAAGCAAGATCAATCGTGAACAGACCTCCCACTATCGCTTTCGCTATGCACGAGCCAGTGGCCTCAAGAAACCCACCCATCGCAAGAGCTGCATTTTGAGGCATGGCTGCCTCTTATGCCGAGGGCGCCGGACCTTTGGTTACGAGGGTGGTTCAACCAAGGATCACATATGCTGCGATTGGTTGGACATGCAGGTTCTCGCTCCGGCTCACCGTTCCTTGCTGCCCGCATGATTGCGTGCACGTCTTGGTCGGCGATTTGCGGCTTCGTCGATAGCGAGGGTGCCGTGACGACGCTACGAAGGGTGCAGCGGCAGTCTCGCGACAACGATCATGACGAAGGCTGCAGACGGGCAGACATGGCTCTGCTGGGGCTCTTTGCCAGCTGTTGAATTGTGCTAGGCAGGCTGAGTTCTGATATGACTCACGCATCTTACAATGAAGGAAGCTACTTGCACGCGTCGTCCACGTTCGCAGTCTTGTGGGATTTCGATGTGAGGACGCCATGTCTACATGAAGGCTTTTGGGAACGAATTCCCACGAGCCAGAGCTTTGCACACTGGCTCGGCCGGCTGTAGTCAGGATTGTACACTGTCCTTCAAAGTATGGTGTCAGTCTTGTGACTCGTACCAAGACGTCCGAATTACAGCCATGGTGTCTTAGGGGATTATTCTTGAAATTCCTCCACCCTCCACTGGACAACCGCTTGAACGCTTTAGGACTTGCAGCCTGCTGGTTGGACGTTCAGCTCTATTGCCGCGTAGAGAGCGAGCACCGGAAAGCGTACAATCCAATCATGGCAGTAGCGCATCCACCCTGGGCCCGGAGAACAACTCCTACGCAGGAACGCCAAGCCCTGTGAGATCATCTGCCTCGAGGAGACATGAACTCAAAGCACTGAGGGCTTGGCCGGCCTGACAGCCATGCAGAGACGGATCCAACTGATCAGGTAGCAGCTTGCATTCGAGAGAGAAACTACTGAGAGGTGGATTGGCTGTGTCAGATCAACTACATACCTGCGTCGACCTCGACGTTGCATGCATCTGATACACATGGTGCAGACCTGCACATCGTTACAAATGGCACACCCGGACGGCTTGTCGCACCATAGCTTCCAGTAGAATGCCTCCAATGCAGTCATGATTTTCATCCCGGGGTGCTCATGCCTCCGACGCCTGTGTAATGTACAGCCAACGACCCGCCTTACTTTTGACGAATAGCCTTCGGCGAGAAATTAATTGATATCTACTCGTCCCGAGTTTTTAAGATTGTTATGTTCGTTCGCCGTGATGCGGGAAGCGGAGGAGGGCGGGGGGGGGTGGGGGGGGGGGTGAGGG